AACTCAAGGTGTTGCCTCTCCTTGCTGGTTAAAAGGTTACGATGCTGAAACCTTGGAAACCACTGAGAAGTTTATCTTGTTTTTGTGTTGTGCTGTTAATAAGGTCTTTTCTGGGCAATTCCGTAGGTTTGTTTGTGAACCCTGCTGGTCTTCTGCAGATAGATAACTGTAAGGAGAAAAGTCATGACCTAGGTGGCTAAGGAGTCCCAGTTGCAACAGTCTTCAAGTCACAAACTCATCTGTTGCTTAATCTGACCATTGTTTGGTTCCCTTCACTAAGCAATAGAAATGCATGAACCAGTGCAGCCCAGAGCTGCTATAAGCTATGATCACCATAGCTGTCATAAGTCAAAAGCAAAGATTTCCTGAGTTCACAGAGTACCGTGCTAGCACATTTTAGCAGTTTGTCATGTTCCAGCAATCTGCAAGAAAAGCAACCTATAGGACTTCTGCAGTGAAGCCCAGAGTTGATCCATGACCCTGGCTCCCAGATGCCTACCCTGCTGCATCCTGCCTACAGAAAAGCTGAGACTTCTCTTTCCCCAATATGCACAGATTTCCTTTGCAAGACAAATCTGAGAATAAGACTCAGGACTGCAGGAGACACCAACCTGCCTGACCTTGTGCAAAGATCTTAGGCTTATTCTGAGAGTTATCGTATCAGATCCCAAGCAAAGTTCTCTCTTTGGAGTTACCAGCTTACTACATTTTTTGTTCTTAGGCCTAAAATTTACTTCCTCTCATTGTAACTGGGAGAAAGGGTATGTATGAAAGTTTCGCTAGAAAACTCTGCTCACAGCATGTTTGCTCAGGCTTCTATAATTTATTACTCTTTGTGCTCTTATTGATTTTAATGTAAACCTCTTAGTGTAAACTTTCTCCTTTTTATGGTAGTGTTCAAGACTTATTTATTAATTCTTTAGACAAAAGCACTCCTTGCATTAATTTAAATGGTTACTAATGCACTCAAGTGTTGGTGTCTGCAGTCTCTTTCTTTGCTGATAGCTGTAAAATACACTCTTATCTCTGAAACTGGAATCTGAAATACAAGCAAACATGTGAGTTCATGAGTATCTGACCGGGCCCTTTGGCTTTCAGCCTGTGGTCTGTAGAATTCTCCATTTATCTTTAATTCTTAAATCCTTACGTTTGGTTACAGATATCTGCACATCCCCTGAAATTGATTGGGTCTTCAAATGTAAAAGAAAAATGTAAACGTAGCTGCCTCAGTGAACTGAAACTTCCTGGTTATTCTAAAGCAATATCGTAAACCTGCTGCCTAAAGAAGTGACCTGACTCCTCTTTCCACCCTTGCTGCATGCCTGCTGCATCATGCTTCTGAACTGATGATTACATGATTTGATAACCAGAAACAATTTCACAAAAAAGAAAGTCGTCCTGGGTAAAAATGTGCGAAGTTTCCACAAACACAATGTCACCTCTTACATAGGCAAAGAGTAGATTTCTATATGGTGTCAATCTCTCTGATACAAATAGTCTTTTAAAATCAAAGAGTGCAAGGTAGAAAGAAGTCATGGCATGTGTGGGTCCCAGGTTCTTGGAAATGCTTTCTTGCATTCTTATTCTTTTGTGTTAAAGTATATTATTTAGTTTGCTCATTAAATAATTTAAAAATTGGAGAAGGCAGCAGAAAATATCCTTGGAAAATAAAAATGCTGAAGTCCTTGCATAAATAGTAAGTGGTAAATCACTTTATAGATGATGAATGTACTATAAAATCTCTCATGTTGGAGCTTAATGTAAATAACAGAGGAAATCATAGCTTCTAAAAGTAGCTTTCACTAATAATGTGTTAAGACTTAATGTGTACTTTATGGACAAGGCTCTTTAAAATAGGCTTTTAAATTTAGAGCTGCAAACCCAAAAAAGTAGCTTGACATTTAACATTGATCAGTCCTTGCAAATTCCCAGTGAAGCCTCCATTTCTAAAAAGTCTTCAAAGTATTACTGCACACTGCTTGCACATCACTCCAAGGTACCATCTACATCCTGCATGTGGACAGATCTTGAAGTTCTCTGTTCAGACAAATTTGACAGTTTCTGTCAGGTAATGGGCCAGTTATTTCTCTGAGACACAAGGTCATGCCAAATACCAGCAGTTGAGAAGGGGAGTGTTACGGTTCGGAGCATTTCAATTGCTTCTTTGCTCCAGATCTCAAGGAGATGCATCAGATGTTCACAGTGCTAAACATTCCTAGCTAAACACCTGAATGATGTGTTGTTCGGTGCAAAAGAAGACCACGACGCCTGTCACGCAATTTCCTCATTAGGAGATCATTTCCTGAGCAGCTGGAAAGCATGTACAGACACAGAGAGGGAAGAAAAGCACTGAGAGCTGCATTTGATGACATTCGAATTTTCAAGTAAAGGCAAGGAATTAACCATAAAAAAATGCCTTTCAAAGCAGTCCCAGCAGACAATAAAAGTATGACCAAGCTGAAGTGCTTGTGGAGACAGAAAAAACAGAAGGAGAATCTTAGTCACTGGGGTGACAGAGAAGATAGGAAATCCAAGCTGAAAGGCAGGTGAATGAGGAAGCTGCTTGCTTATCTGAAGTGCCCCAACACAAGTAATAAATTAACTTGCATTAACTCCAAACGTTATACATGTTGTTTTCAAATATTTTTCACAATTTGCCCCTGCCGCCCAGAGAAATGTGTATGCTAGCCTGAGAAAAACTAACGCATCTAAGGCTTGGAAATGAGAGAGGAGTTGTGATGAGATTTGACAACCTGAAGGGCTTTTTCTCTGATCAGGGAAGAAATGAAGCATTGCTTTTTAAAGGAGATTTTCGACTAAAAAAATTAATTGGATATCACTTTTCAAGTGCTTGGAATCCTCTCTGGATACAATATAATAATGAGTAGAAAAATAGCCTGTATTTTGATGTTTGCTTATCCACATGCTATCCTGATGTATGGTCGAATATGATCTAAATTATGAATAAGACGTGGGTGCTCTGCTATTGCACTGCAGGAGGAATAGAAGAATAAAGTTCAGGATTTAGTGCATGTTAGAAGCAAACTGAGCCAAAGGAAAGGACTTGATTGTATCATCTCTGCAATTTATTTCCACACAAATTATGACTTAGTGTTCTGTGGGATATTTTCTCTCTGCCTTCTTGCAGAGAGACACAGTACAACAGAGCCTCAGAGGAAAAAAAAATAGTTGCGATAACTTAATTGGTAAAACAGGTTTTTATCCTTGATGTTAGCATATTGAATACAGTAGAAGCTACAGTATTCCATTAGTAATCTGCAAGTAGTATTTTTCTAGGCAATTTAAGTAAGCACGAGTGTTTGCATTGATCAACTAAGGAGAATCCATGCTTTAGCATCTGCAATGATGAAATTTACTGAGAAGAATACATGAATGGATACAAGTTTTCCTCCTTCAAAATCACAGCACAGTCTGCTTGCAGATTACTCTTCTCCTTTTGCAATTGTTTTCAAATGTGAGATTAAAATATTTTTTTCCAAGGTCACTGATGTTTGGGATGCAAGGAGAGAGATGCAAGCATGTAACATTTTCTAGAGTAAGTCTGCAAATGAATTGGAATGATTTGATATAACAATAAATTACAGCTGTAAAAACAAGAATTACTGAAATTCAGAGGGAAAACATTAAATTGCATCTATTTAAACAATTATTAAACAAACCATCTATTTCTGCATATGAATGTTATTAAATTCATGCATGCAAGTATGCAAGCACATTTAAATTGAGGCTTGCTTAGTGGAGGAGAAAGGATTGCAGCTCCTGAAAAAATGATATCTGTCAAAAGCCTTCATGAGTCACAGTCCCTCTGGGCTTCAGTTTCCTCTTCTGTGAAAGAAACAGAATAACCTGATTTTTTTTCCCCACTTAGGTACAATACTAATATACAGCAATTTTATAAATCCAGCAGAAGGGTACAAAATGTTCTAATGCTCTTGTGTTTGTTTAGACATTTTCTATTTTGAAGTCCTGGGCATTTTTAGATTGCAGGCAGAAGTGGGTCATTCAGTAGACATCTTCGTACAGAAAACTTTCACTTCCATAAGGACCTCTAATTTTGCTGCCACTATTCTCCCTTATCAGTGATAGTTTGGCTGGCACTTGTTTATCAGTACATACTTATTATAACACGTCACACAGTGGCTTCTGCCCCCAGGTTATTACCTTGAACTGTAATATAACTTTCAACAGTATTTGAGGAAAAAAAGAAGATGCTGTCACAAAAGACATAGTGGCAGCATGAAACATCAGGAGCTCTGACCGTTGAAACCAAACCTGATTAATCAAAGCCCGCAGCCCAAGCCAGTTTGCTGCTCAACAGCAGTTTTGATTACAAGGATTAGAGATAGAGAAGACCTCTGTCTTCAGCGATTAGAAAGAGAAAAAAGGAAAAACCTTGTAAAAATTTGACACAACCTCATGAGCATGTTGCAGATTACTTCTGTTTCACCAGGATGTCCTTCAACCACTGAGCAACTTCAATGACTCTTTGTTGCTCTCCCAATGGTTAAGTAAATGAATTTGAGAAAAAAAAAAAAAGTTGGGTGCTCCATCTTATTGAAGCCGATCAGGCTAAACAAGCACTAAGCTGAGATCCATTCCAGCTTCCACCTCTCAGGATAGCACAATTAGAAAAGACACATACTTATGAGGTGGAGAAGCTGGATTTCAGCACCTGGAAGTAGTGAATATCTTTAATGCTTCAGCGTTGTTATGTGACAGTCAGTATTGGGAGTAAAAACCTAAGAAGAGATGTGCATATCTCCTGGAGATCCAGAGAACAACGTACACCAGCTAAGCAAGCTCTGCTACCAATGTGCTGTGTGAGGAACGTCTATTAAAGGCTGTGCCTAATGCAAGTGGGAAATAAAAATTGCAGTTGTTAATACATCTTGAACTGGAATTAAATTTGGGCCTTGGTAGAGAGAAAAAAAAGACAGGCAAACTTGGAAAGTAGAAAAAATACTGAGAAGATGCCTTACCTCCATCTAGTTCTTCAGCTCCAAAATGATTCCTGTAGAAGAGCATAATCTCTATCTTGTAACACTTGTAGATAGTCACTAAACAAACAAGTAGCAGCAGAATAGCACCAAGCCCACCAGCAAGCTCAACTGTATACATCAGCTCTGCAAAGAATTACAAAATGCAATAACAACCATATTCGAACCAGAGAAAGATTAGCTGCACACCTAGCATTTTTACATAAAAACTTAGCACAAAATACTGAATGCTGGGCTACTTATTTCTTTATAGGACCATTGAGGAAATACGTAATTAAGAGAAGTCTTTTCTCTCAAAAATAATTTTTTCTTTGATGAACTATTTGAATTGCTTAAAAAAAATGTTGAGCATGTGTGAAAATATGTGTATGTGCCTTATTATGTACATATGTGCAAGAGATATTTCAAAACAGTCTCTCTCAGTAGATAGATGACAGTTTGTTTTACACAGATAATTGTTGACATTCCACTTACAATGAAAGCAGAGATGAGCGTTTCTCTTTTGGTGGCCATAAGGCAAGCACAGCCCTTCCTCTATTCCACATACAGAGAAGAAACACTTCTGTTTGTATTTGATGAGATTCTGTCTACTGTATAAGACTAAGCTAAAATTTCCATTTTTATTCTTTTAATATGAAAAAACAAACAAACAAACTTGATAAATGTGAAGACAAATTATCCTAGGAGTCCCAAAGCCTCACATCTCTATTATGTGTTAATATCTTTGACATAATTTTCCATGATCTGTAATTCATCTTTGTCCTGCCCCCTTTCCCTAAGCAGGGTTGGCTTGTGTCTAGAAACTGTATATCACCCCGGTTGGTCAGTCCTGATGTTCAGTCTCAGGCCACAAACTCCCTGCTTTTGCTGCACTTCATAGCTGGAGAGTTGTGTGATGGATGGGGGCCATTGTCCTGTGGCTCCCTTTCCAAGGACAGGGACACAAGTCAAGTGTAGCCACGACTATCTGACAACAGCAGTATCCTCAGAGGGGTTGCTTCTCAGTTAGGAAGTAATTATTGACTTTCATCCCTCCAGTTCTAGCAGTACGTGCTTAAGAAAGCTCGCATGGGTAGGTGACATCCATTTGGTTGTCACTCTTCATTTACTCACCAGCCCAGAACTGGCAATATTAAAAGAAGGGGTGGGAGGAGGAAGGAAGGTATTACTAGCAATGTTGCAATGTGAAATAAGTAATAAATGCCACCCCTTAAAGCTACCCATACATTTCTAATATTGCTCAGTTTCCAAGAATGCTAAGAGAGTAGATTTTGGGAATCCAGGATGCATATTCTGCTTCATAAAGATCTGTGCTGGAGAAAGCTGAGCTCCATGCTACTTTCACAATGTCCTCCTCTACTGGGTAACTTCTGTTTTAGGGAAGTGATGTTGCCCTGAAGCACCCTTTTTTTTTTTTCTCTCTTGTGCTTATGCAGATACGACACTTCAGCGCAATACAATTCAATTAGGAAATAAAAGGTTAGAGGAAAAAGTGACAATTCCATTTATTTTGACTATGTCTGCTGAGAACCACACGTTTTTATTATTTTGAGGCAACTGTAAAAAGATTTCATTGCTCTCTAGAAGACACTAAAAGCATAATAAAATAAAATAAAAAGGCATTTATATTCTGTGTCATTCTCTCTGAAATGGTGCTGGAAACTCCTTTGTGTTAGACATTTTTAAGATCAGCATGGTTATTTCAGACTTTTCTGGTCCAGAGAGGGGAATGTTATTAAAAAACACCCAACAAAAATAGTTTGCATAGGCAAGTAGCATAGTATTTTTGAATATAAATATAAATGGAAATGGAAATTACTCTGCAGTGGTTTACTATAGTCTCTTTATCATTTCATACTACAGGTGATGCAGCTGTTCAACAGTAAGTAGAGAAAGGGATTTTAACAGGTTGAGTTCCTAGGCAAAAGCAAACAAAACAAAACAAAGCAAACCCAAGAAACAAAAACACAACTCTATCTGCTGTTACAATGCATTAAAGGTAAGAAAAAAAATGCAAATGGAAATCAAAAGTTTTTCCAAAATTAATAATTATGAGATTAAATGAAAAAAATAACTGCAGGTAGTCATCTGCTCTCTGTCACTGAGTGTTGCATGCATAAACAACAGCACTTTGCCAGCAGAGTGTCTCAGAGCTACCACTTTCCCCATCAGATTAATTCAGGGCTAGGTGAGAATGTGTATTTGCTTTAACAGAAAGCCCTTGAATACACGTAGTGCTGCCCGAAATCTATGACAAGCAAAGAAAACAAGAACATTCTCCAAGTCACCCTGGAAAGCATTAAAAAGAGCCATTTTATGTGCCCCTGCCAAGCTCATCGCAAACTCTTGGGAGCTCAAGGGAAAGATGGTTTCTTCTCAGACCGCTTCGAGCGCAGAGAAATCTCCATGTATCGTAGCAGGGTTGTGTTTTCCTTGGTGCTGGATCTCATTTATCAGCACACATTCATAGCAAGAGCTCGACCTCGACTTCTTGGTCACTGAGAGGTCTTTGGAAGAGAGGCAGGTGCACTGTAAGGTGCTCTGTGAGCACTGAGGGCACTGGTGATGCCCATGGCAGTGACACTGTGACTGTCAACACTAATCTAGAGCGGACCATCATAGTTAGAGGGTGAGCCTGTCTTTTCCCTGCTGCTTTACACTGACTTTGGCACTGCAATTCCAGCACGGTTACTACAGTGGGCATTACACTCTCTTTGAACTGTGATCTGTTTTTCCTGCAAAAAATCGAGTTTCCCGCAGCGGCACTGGACTAAAAAGATTCTGCTTCGGCAAAATCCCACATCAGAGGGGAGAGACAAAAACTGCAGCCCTCACAAAATCTGCTTATCTTCCACGTTGTGCCATTCAAAGCGCAGAGCTTGCCCTCTTCTAAGATAGTCAATGCAGAAAACAGTCGAGGAAAATCACTGGGCTAACTCTTGTGGGGGAGACAGGCTTTAAGTTAAACCCCACAAATGAGTGAGTGCCAAGGAGCTACGCTGGGAAGTGCAGCAGTCATTTAGTTACAGGCAATTAGCACCAGTGCTGCGGTAGCTCAGGAGCAGTTCTACTGCAAGGGAAAACACATTGATTACTGCTGCGGGAGTAGATTGGTTTCTGAATAAATTGCTTCAATTTAAAACAAGATTTGTTACAAGCATTTTGACCAATGGCTACATTTTTTTTTTCCTTATCGGGAAGCTTTAGCCAAGCTACCTGAACGAAAGAAACAGCTAATTAAAACAAAGTACGTGGCCCCCTCTAAATATCCTGAGTGAGATGGCTCAGAATGAATGCGCTCATTTTATACAGATTCTAACCTAATTATTAGGTATACTGTGGGATATATCTTTGATCTTCACCTTGCTTTGATTTTTGATAAAATTTCTTTCATTGTGTCACACAAGTAATTCACTTAGCTGCAGTTGTAACAAGAAAGTAAATAAAAGGGTGCCTTCAATGATTCATACCTTTTGATTTATATGACATGCTTCATATACTTTACATTTGATGATCTGTGATGATTTAAAATTAATCTTTTTCTATTCATTAGCCTGTATACAGCTGAGCTGCTAGGAAAAATAATTATGCTTCATTCTTTTTTTTTGTGTGTGTGATTTATAACTCTTGGTGGATATGTGATTTATAGCTGTGTATTCAATTTCTGAGCCTTTTTCAAAATCCAATTATAGTCTATCTAAGGTTTCAATTTTGCAATCACTTACGCAGATTGCTGAACTTCACAGCCTATAAGTAATCTCTCTCTGAAGTCAACAGGACTATTCACAGAGCTTCCAGTTAGCACATACATAAATCTTTGCAACTTTGTTGCCTAAACTCATTTCCATTCTCTGTGCATCTTGGGCATCTGGATGACAAGCTATGAAATTCAGCTATATATAGCGCTAACATTTGGTCGAGATATACTACCTTCATACACTTCAATTATAAAGCAAAACATAAAGGTAATTAATGTAATTTGGAAGGGGAGCAGTTAAAGACAATGCTGACTAAAAGTCCCAGTTGTTTTTTCTCGGATGATATTCCAAGAAAACGAGGGGCAAAAAACAGATACTGATAAGCAATGCAGGAGTGATGCATTGGTTATTGGTTAGATATGGGTTATTGATTCTAAAGAAATGTGTTTCCTGAAGAGGAAGGAGGAGATTGGCTAACACAGGAGCATTTACTTGCCTGAGTTCCATATCAGACATTATCAGTAAACAGCAGTTACAATTTAGGTTAGGAAGAAAGAAATTCTTCATGCTATTCTATTTTTTTTAATATATTCTTCTTCTGAATACAGTATTCACTATGATATGGCTGTAAAATGATTTATCTTTCCATAGTATGGCATACGGAACTACAGCTTCACACAGCATATGCATATCTATGTCTATAGATAGATACGTGCATGTGTGTGTGCGTCCATTTTCAAGTTTTTGTGATATTTTTCCCCCATGGATGGTGTTATTGATATGGTTGCGAAAAAAGTCACTGGTGGATCTTATAGGATAATGATGCTCCTGACACCAGAAGTTGCTGATTTGGGATGTTCATTAGCTTGATTATGAGATCATCTCTTGGCACAAAGAATATGCTTTTTTTTTTATCCAGTGTGGGCCACACATGCCTGTAGGTGTCTGCAAATTTGACTTAAGTTAGCTCAATTTAGTTACAGTTTTTAATAGCTTTTTTCAATGCAGGAATTTCTTTTTATTTATTAGAACTATCTATTCAGAGCCCATTATCTCACTTTATTCATTAGATCTATACATAATATATATATTCCTTATTTATCTGTGAGAAAGAACTAATCAGATTCAGGAAAATATATGTATGAAGGCATGTGTGTATATGAGTGTAAATACAAGACAAAGATCTTGTTAACCTATTAATCTGTTCAGAGGACAGCATGGGGAAGCCTGGGTTCTGTTGGATTTCTCTGCCTTATTAGAATAGAGGCAGTAAATAATGATAATAGAATATATATCCTTAGCGATGACAATTTTATTTTTTCTGAGGAGTGTGGGATACCTGTTCCCAGCAGGAGAATAATTACCCTGACTACCTCCAGAAGTATGTTAGCGTGAGAGAGTACAAGGTGGAAAAAAATGTAGATGCTACAGCATGGTTGAAATTTAGTACATTTAAATACAGTACACCACATTTTAAAAGCAGTTTGTACTTCAATTTGAAGGGAAAAAAAGTCATCATGATACAAAATTACATTAATCTCTTTGAGCTTCTCCACCAAAATTAATTTTATATGACTTATTCCTTACTGATTAGGAGAGCTTCTAGTTGCGCATGCACAACAGAAATCAGCCCACACAATTACTGCTTTTAGATTCTCTGAAAGAAATGAATGTAAGAAGCACTGGGAGGTGCTAAAATGTGGGGAAAAAATAGAATACTAAGTTCCAAGGATATAAGATCATAAAACACACTATTTCACTATTTACTTTTTTTCCTCCCCCAAGGATAGCATTAAAGAATAACTTAACTCTGCATAGGTGATAAGAACAATTTGTGACATTTCATATTAAAATATTTTCTTCCTTGCCAATCAAGGTTAGAACTTAACTTACACAGACATTATGCAAAGAGAAGAACTATCATAAAAGTGGTACAAAAGCTGTTTTAGATGGGAGTCTGTTAAACAATTTGTTTGGCACACCCCCAGAGGAAATCTAGATTTAGGCATATGCTAAGTAATCTGACAAATCTTTTCACTAGATTCCATTTTTTTGAGGATGAGAAAAGCCTTGCTGAGGAAGAGAACAGCCTTATGACGAGGTTCTGCCAGGAACTAATCCCTATTAACCTACTAATTTGCTGAGTTTAGATGAGATTGAGTGTAAAACAGACAGGCATTTTTTTATTAGGCTTGGGGAAAGAAGAGTTTTCACACTTTTGGTACTGTGTCACAAACCTCTTGCGTGACTGACTCCTTTTCTGTTTCAAGTCCTAATTGTCACTCCTCACTACCCTGTGTGAAGCCATGCTCTCCTGTTGGAAAATATCCATGAGATCAAAAACTTAGTTTACTCAAATCCTTAAGTTATAAAACAGCTTTATACTATCAGTGTAAGTTAAAGTGCTTGTCAATAATTCTGTTATCATTAATAAACATGTGAATTGAAGAAAATTGAGAATTTTTTTGCTGTTCAGAATTTGCTGTCAAAATAAAGTAAATATTAACACAATGTTTATATACTAACTGGTGATGAGTTTAGAGCATTCCTACCGACTTGTATGTTTCCTCAAGATTTGTTTCCCATAGGAAGAGTTAATTCTTTCCTTTTCAAACATATATCTCATCAGAAACGTCAACAACAATATTTTTTTCTTCTAGACAATTTACTTCTGTGCAATTTATTTCAGTGAAACTTCTTTTTTTTTTCCCAACTGAAAAGTTATTCAATCAGCCTTTAGCACACAGATTAGATTCAAAAAACAGATAGTCATCCATTGAGAATGCAGCGTATTGCAGAAGAGCGTAAAATGTAAAAGAAACATAGAAAAAAAATGCAGAATAAAAATGGGATGAGAAAGTGAGAGATCCTGAAAAAACTGCATAGAGAGTGTTTCTCACTCTCAGTTCTGGTGGATGACCCATGAAAATTATACATACATTATTTAGTTTTTAAAATAATACAAATCAGATAGATAGAAAAATTCATGACACATATATATATATTTTGCTTAGCTGTTAAAACATGCTGACAAGAATTTCCACAAAAATAACAACATAATTAAACAGCAACCTGCAATTCTAAATAAATATATGACTAAATGGGATCCAGCACAAAAAGTCTGCTTTTCAGGGGAAAGCACTGTACAGTATCATTCTTTCTCCTTATACATTATCTTTTGGTAACCATTATATTGATAAACTATGGGCTTGTCTTCTTGAATTAAAAGGCCATGAAAAAAGAGATTGAGGTGCACAATCCACTTATATATGCAATATGTTGCCTACCATTAATAAATTTGTACCTAGCTGTTGTCAGTACTACTCTTAAAATTAATTTCTAGAGGGTTCCTCTCTCTAGTTGAATATCAACCTGTCACTGCTGCAGATGATCTCTAACTGCTAACAAATAGTCATGCAGCTGCATATGTAACAAAATTAGCTTTTGACTATAGCAAGCACTTTTTCCCCTTTTTTTCCCCAGTGTTTGGAGGGGGGCTTACATTTTGTACGTGAACCTGCACTGTAGCAATTAGACCTGAATACCTTTGTTTTCCAGGAATACTCTCAGTTCAGTAATGGAGCTTTCTTGTCCTCTTTGATCATAGTGATAACATGTTACAGGTACAGTTTAATAAGGGTTATAAATTCATTTTTAGATATTCAGTGAACATTCTAGAATCAGCGTTTCTGTTCATTTATACAGCTGGGGAAAAAAAAAAAAAAAGAGCAGTAACTAGAAAACCAGCCAAAACTAGTATCTCTGCAGATGCCTCCGTTTGCAGGAAGTAGGTCCACCTCATTGTTGGGACTTGATTGTTCTAAGTGAGCAAATAATCAGAAATTAATAAACAGCTAACTCATTTCTAGCGGGGACTAAATGTGGATCTAAACAAGGAAACCTAAAATGAAATGTTGTCATGGTGATATACAGGAGACTAAGCAAGCAGCGCAAAGCTTTTCTTCCTAGGAGACCTGAGAGACTAGCTAGAATTTTTATCTGTCATGATTAATTTATCATTTCACTGAAACAGTTGTCAACATGCAAAGTATGTAGAAGGCTTCTAACAGGTACCTTTTGCTTTTTAAGGCCACAACATATTTTGTTTCCAAATCACAGTTTCATATTAAGCCTTACTAATGAGGAGAAAAGAAATATTTGGGGAACTGTTTGCTATTTTTTGCTTTTGACTATTCATAAAAAATAAAATATTGAGATCACTTTCTCTTAAGCATGTCATCATGAGGCCACATACTGTGGCCTGTTTGCCATACTGATTTCTCTGAGAAAGGAAACGAGGAAAGTAGATCCTTGCAAAATTTATGCATGCACATAACTAGATTTAAAAGCTGATGGTCACAGAAGAGAGTTATATGTTGTGTCAGTCTCTGCTATTGCTGGCATGGAAGGGAAAATAAGGACTCGTCATCAGCATATGAATGAGTCAAAGTGAATGAATTATTGGTTTTACAGTAATTTAAGCCTTAAAAATCCTTATTTTAAGTGCTTTATGTACTAATTTCATTACTAAAGGCAACCTATTGGATACGAGTGTTGGATTAAATTCTTGCTCTGGGTTCAAATGTCTTTGAATTAGGAGTACATAGCTACCAGCCAGTAAATTGTACAGTTCGATTAATTAATGAGTTAATTTCCTGTCTCAGTACATTGAAGAATATATGGCAAATGCTGGGCTAAGGAGAACGTTTGGTTATTTATATCTGTATCTCTTAAGAAGAAAAATGGTCGAGAAGCTATTCTATTCAACTAATTGGAGGTACATGAAAAACACATTTAAATAAGATACGCATAAGCTTGATTTATGGCTCCCTTTTCAACTTACGCTTTGCATACAAGGCTAAAACTAGAAAAGACATTGCTGCTCTGACATAAATTGGGATGACACAAGTAATTCAAACACAGTATGAATCTGGTTTACTCACCTTTACAAACAGCCTAAAAAAAAAAAAAAACCACATAGTAATGGCAGCAAAGCAGGCAGCCTGCTTGTGACTATTCGTTCCTCTCTGAAGCTGCTGGGCTGCTGCATGTCTGCAGGGAGCACCACACAGCAGTAAATGTGGGACACTCTTCGGGTGGCAAAGTGGACAAAGTGGATCTGGGAACATCGCTTGGCAAAAGGCTCTCTGCCTCTCCGCAATTATCTCCTTGGGAGATTACTGTGGTCATTAGACAGGCCGAAATCACAGGATGTGAGTGGAAACAGGAAGGTCCTTAGAAGTTTATGTTGTAATACTTCACTTAAAAAATGCAGGCACTAAAGAAATATGTTGGAAAGAAACTGAAAAGAAACGTTATGTGGCACCTCTAAGTGAAATATATTTGTATAATTGTTTTTTTTCTTAGAGAAAAACGAATACCATCTTATTACCTGCAGCTTCCTACTCTCCTTTCTCTATTGAGCTTTTATTAGATTTAGCACTCATGAATTATTAAATGCCTCTTCTATATGAACATAATGAAAATGTGTTACTGTGTTTTTCCTAGTGACAGTTACAGTTAACAACAACCTTTCTGCTTTGTTTTGAAAGTTGTACAAATGCCTGGGGAAAAACAATCACTGCTTATTAACATCTCAGGTAGACAGGCTTTCATCAGAAGGTAGCTTTGCAAACTGACCACCCCTGCAATATAGCACTGCATGCTGAAAAGTTGCATATTTACCCCTTTTATGTAAAAGTATACTAGCATGTCGGCGTCCATTCCCATTTTCAACATAGCATGAGTAATTCCCCAGATCACCTTCCTCCACAGAGTCCAGAATTAATGAAATGGAAACCTCCTGTTCCCCGAGATGCTCCTTGAGAACCCTAAGGAGAAAAAAAAAAAAAAAAAAGGCCATATAAGCTCTTCTGCCTATGTCACAGCAGAGCATCAGATAATCATGACATAATAATGCTACTTAGAATTCACAACTCTCTGGCTTCAAATTTTGGCTATGGTTTGATGAAATCTTAATTAAATTATATCATGCCCTTTTCTTCCTCACTTTTAATGAGGAGGTTTGGCTTTGTAAATGTTAATGAGAGCTTCAGTTAATTGTCTTCTTTAAGCAGGATGATACACACACTGATAGTAATATATTGCACACACTGATGAACAACCTGATCAGCAGTATGTGGAGTCTCAGAATGATTAGAATAGAGAAAAACGGTTATTTTTAGGATTAGGGTGACACTGTGAGTCCGTACCTAGCACAATATTTGTCCACTCGCCCAGATTCTTCAAAATGTCACTCAGGAAAAATGTGTTAATGTTAGGACCTGAAAAACCATTTCTTGAATGCATTATAATATCTCACTGTGACTTGTAAATCAGCAGAAAGAACTGGGATTCCTGGTGTCACTCATTCATACAGATGATAAAAGCAGAGATCTCCTGCTTAAGACTCCACCTGTCTTCCCATTGATTTCTCTCCCTCTTTGCAAATCGCACTGTGGTTTTAGATACTGAGCAGGGCAAATGGCCTGCTCCCACACCTGGCAAAAGGGGTGAAAAATGACCTTCCTTCTTCCCTCTCCTCAAATAAAGAAAGTCGTAAAGAAGTTTTTACTGCATCTTCAAAATGCTAAATCCCTAAAAGATTTTGGAAAGGCTTTAAATGAAAAAGACAGTTTGTGTAATGTGGCATATTGGTCTTGAGCTTCCTAGAATAAATTTAAAGTTCAAAGAGGTGACATATTTGTGCCTCTATTTTACCAATATCTGAGGCCATGGGCCATGGCAAAGATAACTGTGAAAGCTGATGTGACCATCTTGATTTTGGTAAAGGATTTTTCTCCATTACGTCAGCCAGTCAAAGAAGTTACCTCTCATTTTTGAATGAGATAGTAAACTCCTGAATAAGAACCTAAGACTTTAATCTATTATAGACAGTCATAGTAGATAATACACCAGTAATTAATGACTTCTGTAATGCACATTTATATTTGCCTTCATTTTTAGTTTTTCTCCATGATATTCAGAGACAGACATATACATACATACAGAATATGGAATATTCTGTTTATTTATATTACCATATAAATGGAAAAAGAATCTCTTCAGATCCAGGTAGGTACTCCATATGGGTAGGATTTCAAAAGGTATGTCAAGCATGCTATTCTGAATTCATAAACACTTTTTTTCCCACAATTTCCAAATGAGGCAGCACTTTTAGAAGCAAGAAGTGTACATGACGTGACATGCCAAATCCTCTCAAACAAATATTTCAGCAGATATAAACAGCCCACATAAAAGAAAATCTAGATCTCACAGGTTGAATAACATGGTAGGAAACTCATTTTTTTCTTGAAAAAAAAAAGAGAAATCAAAGTATTTGGAAACAGAGGTCAAATGTCAACATTTATTTAAAGTCCGATGTTTTAGAAGACTTCTTTTGAGATGTTTTTCCTGAGACATTTGTTTTTCTTTATTTCTTCTTAGTAACTGCATTAGTGGCTATTATTGTAGTTTGCTACAGGTTGAAAAGTCACTATGCAAATTCCAGCTACTTGTACTATGGTGCTAGTAGAGCAACCTCACTGCTTTTATGTTTCTCTAATATCGGATCTTGCTGGTGCATACATTCTTCTGTTCTCTACTGGTAGACTTATAAAGAGTGAATTTGGCAAAAAAGAAAATCATAGCTCTAGTGCTAACAAGCTTGATTAACCATCAAAACAGACACTGACTGAGAGAACAAAAGACTTTTTTTCTTTTTTTACCTGATGTCACTTTCCCAGACTCGACTGTCATCCAAATCTTCAATAAACTTCTCTCCTTTCATCCAGTAAATTAAAGGACTGACATCTCCACTGTATCCAAAGAAAGCTCGGCAGGTTAGATTAGCAGAACCACCTGTTAGAAAGCATGTAAGAAAATACACATACATATGTGTGTGACTTCAAATTTGTAGAAAAAAAATCATCTGCTTTTCTTGATTCACAAAAATGATATCAGTAGAGCCACTCAGTTTCCAGCTGTTGTTGGAAGTATCCAAAAAATATCTACTTATTTTCCAACCAGTGTTCAGTATATTTTCAAAATAAGTTGAAATTTTCCATATATATATTATTTCACCAAGATTTCTAAGTAAGGAAATAAGAGGCCATAGTTTGACTACATTATGCAGCCAAAAACTTTTATGTTTTCTCTGAAAATAGGTAAATAGGTAAAACAGACATGGAGTCACATCAGTATTAGTCCAGCTTTGCAGTGATTTGTGTAAAGAGATTGGTAGGCTCCTGTAGAGCCTCGTTTGGTAAGACTGGTGAAAATCAGCTGTACTGCCCACGGCCACATAAGTAAAGATCTTCCACTCACTGCTGTAAAGATCTTTGTCTTAATATGTACCAACGCTTTTAAACTGCCACATGCATTTTCTATACTGAGAATAGTGAATTAATGAAGTGTGATTTAAGGAGTGGTTCTTTCCCTGTGAGGAGAATATTTTTATAGAGTTGACATTACTCCTGAGAAAAGACTCATTTTTTATTTACAACTTCCATTTTTGTCTTAGGACTTGAAACTTGACTGACCAGTGCTCCTGGAAAAAAAATCACATTGTCAACATTCCTTTAGGTCCTGGCTCTGTCATTCTTTTCTGTACATAGCTGACCCAAGAAGTCCATCTAGGATCAATGAACTTCCTTTATATATAGTGCTTTGAGTCAAGATCTGGTTCTTAGTGATCAAAAATCCTTAATATTTGAACACTTTTTTTTTTTTCACTTTTCAGTATGGAAACAAATGTAGGATTCTATACAACGGGAAGATGAGCTATCTGAAGTGACTTTGGGTATTTTTGTAAAAGGAATCCGACTCCTATACCTGCCTCAAACACTCATATGCAGGCTTTAGAAGGTACAGAACAAGTATGTCTGCAATTAAAATGTGCAACGCCAAGGCAAGTCCAAGTGACTTTGCTTCTGCCGGCTGTTCAGTAACTTGCTTGTAAGTATTTCATGACAACTTGCCTTCAATTAGTGCCACATTGCCATGTGCCAGGAAGGTGTATTAAGGGGTATCCCAGTCCTCAAAACTAGGAGGCAGAGGAAGGTCTCATTCATCATCAAAAGACATGAAATTGAATCTCTGATTCATGAGACTTTTGGATAATCTTAACTGTCATTCAGACCCATGCTACCAAATGTAAGCTGAAGGTCTTTAATGGGATGGTAAAAATTTGCTCTTTAGCACCAGCCAGAGCTCATGTCTCAGCCCCACCAGGAGCAGTGGTCAGTAAGGCTCCCTAAGAACCCATCTCCTCACTCTGTGTGTGGGGAGCTCAAGAAACACGATTTGGAAGCACTGGAGACGAACTTTTTGGTAATCTCAAAGTCATTTGCAGGGAATAAGATGGACACTAGGAGACCATGTGGGTTAAATGCACAAAAGTCTGTAATGGAATGTGATAAACTTTCTGTTTGTTTCCTGAATGTTTTAATAGATGTAAATCCACTTCTGTACTGCGATATACACAAACATTTTGTTGTTGCTGTTGCTTCTGCATCATAATTATGATAAGTGAACATGTAAAAATAAAATACCAAACTTTAAAGTAACATGAATACCAAGCTTCAAGGGATACAGCAACCGAATCCCGAACATGTTCAGGGCTATGAAATACTATGAAATAACTGTGAATATTGGCTGGTCTCCAAATGGGAGAGGATACCTACATATCTAAAGTAGAAGCAGGCTCCTTTGGTGAAAGGAGAACCCATAGGGCATTGCCGAGCAGTCTGAAAGGAAAGAGGGCTACCTAATGTATCACTGCAACTTCTTGGGCTTCTTCTAGAGCTTTTCACCAAGTGAAGGCCTATCTGAAACTTTTTAGCTTTTAAGAGCTGGCAAGACGGCAGCAGGAGGGCTTGTGGCTTCTGGCCAACTTAGCCATGAATCACAGACATTAGACACCACAGGCGCTGAACCATCAAAGCTCCCCGAGCTCCTGCAGCTAACAGGAACCTCCTGAGAGCTGATTTCTGTACTGTGCAAGCTTCCCAGGCTTTTACAGGTGGATATTAACATCGATAGGTTTGTTTTTTAAAATAAACATATTTCGTTAGGGAGGAAAAGTGTGAGAAAAAGCAAATTGTAAGACTTAGGCCTCTTCCTCATTAAATCTTTGAAGAACCGTCCCCCACAAATAAAATATTTAGGCACATTTTTAAATAGAGAATTCAAGATTTCCATTCCACATGAAATATTTACACCTGAGAAATAAATTAGGCAAGGATGTACTGTCTCTTAGTAATAGTGTGCCATTAGAGTTGCTGAGCAAAGGCTATTAGCGTGTGAGGTGTTGAGCTATAAATTACCTATACTTTCTACCCTGACCACAATAAGCCAGTGGGAAGTTCATTAGCAGGTCATCAAGAAAGATTCAGTGACCAGCTAATGACCCACTGTGACCATTAACGACCAGGTCTGGCACTTCTGCGCTAACAGCTACTTTGAAGGGACTGTGGGGCTCACTTATGGAGCTGCTCTGGGTTGTAGGTGAGTCCCTCCCATCCTTCTGGACCAGAGATGCTCACAGCTGCCTATGTCAAGTGTGAACGAAGGGCAATAGTATGAGTGGGCACAATATTTTGGGAACACATCTTCATCTCTCTTTCAGGGCTGTCCTTGTGCCCTCATGTGCATGACGTAGTCATTTTCCTCTGAAAGTACCTCAAAGTGAGCCATCAGAGAAGAAGGTTTCAAAGTAGTTTCGAAGACCACTTCAAAACAAGTGGTCAGTGAATGAATATTTTGCAGAGGGGCAGCTGTAATAACCCCGTGGTTATTACAGCTCATATACAGGTCATAGGCAATCTGTTTTTTTAAGAAGTCTGCAAACTATTAGAAATCATGCAAAAATTAAGTAAATAAACACAAGAGATACGTTGCTTTTATTTCAGTTAGTGTACAAAGCAGACTGCCAACTGATAAATAGAAATCATTCACAGTTAACCTTAAACAACTACTTTCCTCTGTGTTTATTCTATGCTGGGAAAAGCTGCAGAAATGAACTGAAAACAGTACAAGTTTGATGAATTGATGTGTTATGATTTCTCAGCCAACAATTTAAATTTTCCTGTAAATGCTGGATTATTATGGTTTTACAGTCTATTTTTGAAATAATTTAAATGCATGTTTTAATTTAACTACTAGGGAAACCCATGCTCTTCTCTCTCTCTTTATCTCTCCACTTTGCAGTAAGAGGCTATAAATTCTTGAGCATTTTCTGTCTCAATTTAGGTCCTTGGCAAGCTGCTTTTTTATGGACCCAAAATATGTCCAGGAGAATGAGAATATAATTACTAAGGAGAAAAAGGTTTAAAAAAAAGAATAAAGGGAAAAAATGAAAAAAAAGAGCTTCTAATTCTATTTTTTTAGCTTGAAATAATATAATAAAGGCATATAGAAAATATCTGAAAAAGCCAAACTCTAACAGAATTTGTCTCCTTCATCTTTACTTCTGAACATAAGTTTGTGCTATTGAGCTGATTTTTGGAAAAAAAAAAAAAAGCAATAAACAGCAATAAATGTTGCTGCTGCTTCCTGTGGTAAAGATGCACCGTCAACTCTAGCCAACTGAGTTCAAGCTAAATTAATCAAAATCTCTTTGACTGGGAAAAATGGAGGTGGAGAGTGGGGGGAAGTTCATAGTATGGCTTCCAGCATGGTTTCCTGCAATACAAGCTGGCACAAGAGAAAAAAAAAAAAAAAGGTATTTCCTTGAAACCAGCAAATCCCTTCAGCAACGCCATCGTTTCTGTGTCCTGTTTCCCTAATTGGCTGTATTTGGGGCGTTTTTCAGACCATTGCTATGGGAGTCTCTGTCCGGAAGAGGGCACTGTCTGTCTTCTCAACTATATCTCTAATTCTATATGTATTTTTTAATCAAAAGAAAATCCTAGTGCATAAGCGCTCATTAAAAACATCAGAATGCTAAGAATGGGCTAGTTATAATTAGAAAATAGTGAATGTTTTGTAGCGAGTGAAATGACATCTTGTATGGCCAGTTTAAATTACACTTGCACCATTAGTCATGTATGTTAGCGTACACTGCGTTGGCACCATTCTCTGATTTGATAGACTTTTCACTGAAGAAAACCATTTCTGTTGGAAGCACTGATAATAATTAGCAAATACCTTCTACAACCTCTTTTAAAAGAACCCACAAAGATGTATTACAGCAGTGAAGTATTTGAATGCCAGACCCAGCATCTGATAATGTGAAGGGCCAAGAGAACAGAAATGTTAAGTATACTGAAATACAGGACTTCTTTTACTGTACAATGTAAATCAGTTATAATACTAATGTGCAGATAATATATGCATATAAGCATGACAGCATTTCTAATGTTATGTAATGTTAACACTTGAAATGGTGAAAGGGCAAGGCAGATAATCAATCTCACACACACATTAAATAACATCCTTTTCATTCATGTTAAAGAAAGAATGCTGAAAAAAAAACAGTCTTCCAAGTGGAAAGATGTAAAAAATATTAACTTCCTATGTGTGAAGGATAGGTAGCAATTCCTATCACAATCAATGACACAGCTGGGACCCACACTGTTTTGCCAATGTCTTCTAAAAGACCAGCAGGAAGGTAGAAGCTGCTCGTGTTCTCAGAGAAATCTTTATCATCATAAGATAGATAGCTTGAAAGCCATATTGTAAACATAACTTTAAAAAAGCAAACCCAAAAAAGCCAACAAATGTTTTCAGGTCTGAAAAGATTCATCTGCCTGCCGTCCCTCAGAGCAGGATGCCCTGCAGAGATTTCTTATGGTGCCCTCCTTGTCCTCACAAAGCATCACCCCCTGCTCTGCTGCCCGCCTGCTCACACACACATTTTC